CCCCCCCCCCCCCCAACTAGCGGGATTCAAGTCCCCTCCTGAGCTATTTTTACCCTGAACTTCCTTAGTGAGAAACCACCAAACAGCGATGCTTTGGTGAGAATCTGGGTCTGAACCGGAAGCAGCAGCCTGCACTGAGTTTGACTTGCTTCACAACGCTGTCTCCTCTCCCCTGCACAGCCTCCCAACCCCTCCACCTCGCTCTCTTGCCTCTCGGTTCTCACCACAGCCTGTGCACTCAGAAACTTAGGAGACCCAGCTTCAGATGGGAGGACATGTGTGAAACCCTGAGACCACCCGGCAGGGGACCGAGGAAGCCAGTCTTAGCTCCCCCTGGAAGGAGGCCTTGACCATGAGCCCCTTAAAGGCAGGGGTCATAGTGGTCCTTGTCACAGTGTAACCCAGCGCCCACCACAGCGCCCGGCAGGTGGGAGACCCTCGGTGATGGCTGAGTGCATGAGCAGAAAGCAAATGGGGTGCTGCTTTCTCTGCTAGGGTGGGGAGGGGACAAAGCAGTTAAAGAGCACTTCTGGATTTAAGTTAGTGTTGGCTGAACACGAAGCAACAAGGCCCTGCTCCAGTCCCCGGGAACTCTCAAATGAGTCCCCATTCTGGTGTCAGCCAGTCAGACTGAGAGAGGTGCCCCCGCAGATACTCAGCTACAGTCCTGCCTGGGAGTTTCCTGGTGGCTCTTTCTGGGTCCCATCCCAGGGAGTGAGGATGGCAGAGTGTATCTAGAACTGATAGCCACCAGCCCCGGGGGCGGGGGGGGGGGGCTGTTTATAAATTTCAGTGAATTAAAAGCAAAAGTTCAGCTTTCTCCTTTGTAACAGCCGCATTTCAAGTGCTCAACAGCCACACGTGGCTGGGCAGATTGTGGAACATTTCCACCATGGCAGAAAGTGCCATTGGCCGGCACCGGCCTAAAGGGATGGAGACGTAAAGCAGAGGTGAGGGCCTGATCCAGGGCCCGCAGGTGCGAGTCTGTTCAATAAAGCCACCTTCTGTCTTCTTAGCACTTTATTTCCTGACCACTTCCCTGTGAGGGGAGCATGGGCTAGCCAGGTACTCCCATTTCGTGCGGGAGAAAGCTGAGGTTCAGTCTGGCCCAAGGTCACCCAGCCAGTGGCATGTGCCCCTCCCCTACGAGTGCTCTGCCACCCAGCAGAGGTCAGCCAGGGGGCAAGGGTGGGCAGCGGTCCCAAGAGCAGCGTTAGACCTCCCTGAGGACCGTCGTGGTGCCTGGTAGGCGTCAGTCTTTGTGAAGTCATCCATCGATCGGGCGGGAGAGCCAGCTCAGCCTCGGGTCCCCAGGAACAGAGAGTTCTGTGCTGGCAGAGCTGGGAGAGGGAGAGAGAGACTCTGGGTGAGGGAGGTGTTTACCTTGATCGATGCAGCTTTGGTCCCCAGGGAGAGGCTGGCTCTTCTCCGCAGGGAAGGACCCCGGCAGTGGGCCCGTGGCCAGGTTCGTTAGCACCACCCCAGAGAGAGAGGTGTGCAGACCCCAGCCCAAGGGGAAGAATCGGCTGGGGACATATGGCTGGCCCAAGATACCCTTTGCTCCCACCCTGCCAGGGCCTGCTGCCCCTCGTGCCATGGGGCATTCGTTTGGCGCACTTGGCCTCACTTCCCCCCAGAAGCCTCAGCTGCAGGAGGAAACTCTCCCAGGGCCTGACAGGGAGGCAGCAGCCTCATGGGGGAGCCTGCTCAGGGAAAAACAAGCCCCTGCCCTCCAAGCACGCCCAGCTGGCTTCTCAGGGAGCTCCCAGGCCGCTAACCACAGGCAGGGAAGGACAGTCAGCCCACTGCCCAGGCCAGTGCAGGGACTCCCTGCTCCCAAGGTTACTCGGCAGGTGAGCCTGAATGGAGTTAATGCCCTCTCCTCTCATGGTCCACTGCAAATCCGAGTCTGTCGTTTTGAACTTGAGGTTTCTATAAGATTTAATTGTGCCTTGCTTCAGTTTTCTGTTCCAGCCCTGAGATGAGGTCATTTTGTCGCTGGCTTAGGCCCTATGTCCTGAGGTCCCCACCTCACCCCAGCATCAAGCCTTACTGCAGCCTCCAGCTCTTAAATGGCCCTGAGCTGACAGAAGGACAGGGTCTGAAAAGGGGGGTGGCTCTCCGCCAGGGACCTCCACACACCCGGAAGGGGGTCTTCAAGGCCCATCCTGGAGGCCTTAAGAGATGAGGGGACCTTTGGCCACACGCCCAGGTTCCCAGTCCCCTTGAATGAGGGAGGGTGGTGTTCAAGGCCCCTGTGCCTTTCCCTGGGGTCAGGGTGGGCCGCCCTGGGAACGCCCACAGCACTCTTGCTCCCCAGAGTCTGACGTGCTGTGTGTTCTTCAAAACAGACCGACAGGGCCAGGCCCTCACCCCACTGCCCAGAGAATTAGGCTGGGTTGCCAGGCAGTCCCCAAGCCCCAAGATGAGAAAGTGGGCCCTTTTCTTCCCTTTCAGTAGCCCAGGCCTTGGCACTGACCTTTGCTTGGAGCCAGCTCTAGGGCCTTCTCTGAGCCCCCGTGACCCCTGCCAGGTCCTCCTACTGGCCCCATCCACCTGTGGGTAAGGCCTGGCCTTGTGAGTGCCCCACTCCCGGCAGTAGTGGGTGCTCCGTGCGCGTTTGGTGAATGAACAGGGGCTTTCGCCAGGATGCCCACGTTCCTGGAGGCCACGGCTCCCTCTTGGGAGAGTCAGTAGTTCCGAGGTAGGGCCCAGCCTCTGTGATTTGGCTTTGGTTTTGTAAAGTTCCTCCAGATAATTGTGATACTGTTCATGGAAACGTGGCTTCCAGGGCCCAGTCCTCAAATGATAATATCTGTGATCTGGTACCAAATTGGGGTGTGACCTTTGGCCAGTCACTTCCCTTCTGGAAGCGACTGTTCTCATCTCTGTACCGAGAACAGTGCTCGCTGTCTCATCTCTAAAAGGTAAACTCCACTCTGGGAGGCTCGTGCTAGAGGGGGCTGGCGTGCGTGCTGGGGGAGATATTAAGGTGCAGCAAGGCAAGGAGAGTTGAATGAACACAGGCCCGTGACTCGTACCGTAAGAGCTGTGGAAGGAAGAGGGGGAAATGGTGACTTTGGGGCTGGAGTAGCCAGAAACTCCCCCCAGGCAGGACTTGATTTTGGAAATGGGAGAATTTGGGTCTTGGGTGCAAAGGGCAGGGAATCTTAGGCAGGAGGGTGGAATGACCACGCAAAGGTTTGGAAACCAGGAGGGGTGTGGCACCCTCGGGGAAGGGAGGGTGTCCCTCCAGACGAAGCACCAGAGGTGAGCATGGGAAGTGGAGCTGTTACTGAAGCTCCGTGGGGAGCACAGATTTTATCCTGGGGGCAATGGGAAGGTTTTGGATCCACACATGCCCCTGGGACTCCCAGGGCTTCCAGGAGCAGGGATGCTGCTGAGCCGCAGGCAGGAATCCACGCGGGGAAGTGGGGAGCAGCGCGAGGCCTCAGTGCGAGGTCACAGTTCTGCTGCAGGAATATCCCTGCCTCTGCTGACGCAATGGAAAGTCTCCCTGTTGCAGGGTTCCTGTTTTGTGGTTGCCCATGGTGGGGGGCGAGGGCAGCCAGCTCTTCTTCTGAGGAGCTCCGGGAACTTGGGGGAACTTGTCCAGACCTCCCCTCAGCGCCCTCAGCTCTGTCCTGGAAAAAGGGGAGATGTGTTTGTGTCTCCAGTCCCCTGGGGGTTACAGCCAGGCCCCAGAGGTTTTAAATCAATGTGGGCAGTTCCCTGGGACTAGAGGAGACGGGTGACAGGGGATAGCCTCTGGGCTTGCCGAATTTGATCTCATATCATGTCCGTGGTCTCCTCGGTCAGAGCCTGAGGCAGCTAGAGATTTATAGACACCCTCTCCACCTCCCAAGAGTGTAATCAGGTTGGCAGATTCACAGTGTGCACAGAAGACATAATAGGGTCTGGTTCAGCTCCTACGTGTGGGAAGGTGGACTCTGAAAACTTGGCGGGGAGAGGCAGGGGGGCGGGAAGCCCGTGGAGGCCTTCTTTCTATCTCCTCTCCATCCCGTGGCTTCTAGGCCCGGCTCAAGTGTCACCCACCCAGGAGGCCTTCCCTGGTCTCCCACCCCCAGCCTACCTGTAGACATGGGACCCTGTCCCCTGGCAGCCCTTTTCACCCTTTGGATGTCCCCGACCCATAACCTTATGCCAGCCCGTTTTATGGGGTCGCTTGCCCACCCAAGTGTCCGCCCCACTAGGTTGTGAGTTGTTGAAGGACAGGGCATCCATGACTTCTGTCAGGGCTGGGTGCTTGATAAATGTCTCTTAAATGAGCAGCCCAGGGCGTAACTGGGTCACAGCAAAGGCAGTCACCCAGGAAGAGATGGAGAGGCCTGAGTTCCTGGCACAGCTCTGGCTGTTCCCAAGTTGACCGCGTGACCTGCCAGAGCCCTTGTCCTTTTTGGGGAACCCACCTGTAGGAAGACCACTGGACTTGCTGTGCTGTGTTATATGGGGCTATTTAGATGCATTTTAGCAAAATTAAGTGGAAATGGATTTTCAGTTCCTCAGTCACACTAGACGCATTTTGGGTTCTCAGTAGCCCCGTGGGGTTAGTGGCCCCCGTGTCGGACAGGGTAGTGGTGGGACTTTTCCATCATCACAGCTCTGTTGGACAGAGCTGCACCTGGGAGTCTCACAGGGCCTTGTAGCTCTGCCATCACAGTGCTGTGGGGAGGCGGGGTCCCGCCGAGGCCTGCCTCCCTGTCAGCAGCCCCAGTGACTGCTCCTACCCTGCCTCCCCTTGCTCAGGACCCTGGACTTCCCCACCCCACCCCACCCCCCCACCCCCGTCTTTTCTATGAACCATGGGGTCCCAAAGGACCTCCCTTGCCCTGTCCCCACCGGGGGTGTTAAAATGAGGCATCCTTCCAAAGACAGTGTCGGGGAGTAATTATGAAACCCACATCTGTCATTTGCTGGGTGGCTTTGGGCAAGTCGCTTAACTCCTCTAAGCCTGTTTCCTGGTCAGCAAATAAGGCTGCCCGTACTTGCCTCTGCCTGGCAGGGTTGCAGTGGGGAGTAGATGGGATGGGGTGGAAGGCATTTAGCTCGATGTCTGGCACATAATAATCGCTCAGTAAGTGGCAGTTTTCATTACTGTTGGGTTGACTTCATTCCCTCACGCTGTACGTTTAGCTCCTAAGCCAGCTGGGCTTTTGGTTTCTCCTGAGTTCCTGAGTCTGAGAGGCTGGGTTCTTGTCCCAGCTCCTCCTCAGGCCTCAGTGTCCTTGTCCGTGAGATGCCCCTCCCACCGTGAGGGCCCCCTCCCACCAGAGAGACCTTGCTCTGCAATTGGCTGGTCCCTGCTCCTGCGTGACCACTGTAGCAGGAGATCTTAAGAAGGCCGGTGGGGTGGGGGGGTCGGGAGTGTGTGAGTGTGCCTGCCAGTTGTCTGTCCCCATGGAAAGCTGTGGCGCTGTCCCCTGCTGGCAGCCTTCAGAAGGTCCCCATGTGTCCTAGCTCCGCAGGGGAAGGCGCTGTAAAATCCCTGCCTTGGACTCCTAAAGCCCTCTGGATGACGTGTGCAAAAACCTCTCCCTTTTGAGGTCCACGGACCGTTTGCTGGGGTCTGTGAGCCCCAAGTTGTGTGGGGTGTGTTTTCTGGGCAGAGAGTCCCATGAGCTATGCCATGTTGATGTGGCTCTTGGGGTCACAGCGGCCCTGGAGAAGGTAAGGCTTGTGGGTCCAGGCCTGGCTTCCAGAGTTTCAGAGGGCTTCAGGAAAGACACTCAGTGAAAGGAAGCTGGGAGGAGGTCCCAGGAACTTGTGTACTTGGTGTGGGGCTCTGGGCAGCAGAACAGCACTCAGGCCCAGCCTTGGGAAGTGAGTGAGGCAGCAACAAATTCAGGGGACAGATGGTGTGTGGGTGCAGGGACAACCGGGGTGGAGGCCGGGGACCAGGGGCTTCCTGGGGGTTGTCTCCATGGGGAGAGGTGGAGGAGGTGAGGGCTGGGCATTCATAGAGAGGGTTCCACAGCATGGGGGTGGTCGTGGGGTGGTGGGGGGGGGGGTGGTCAGGTGCAAGGGGTATTGGCCCTCCTATGGCTTTACCTATTGTGGGCTGGAAGCCCTCAAGTTCTCAGAGGTCCCCCCTCCTGCGCCTTGCCTACCAGCATCTCCCCCACCCCCTCTTCTGTCCCTTCCACACACTGGGACTAGAAGGGACATGCTCTAATCCTCTCTGAGCCTCAGTTTTCTCATCTGGGAAATGGAATAGTACCCATCTCATAGGATTGTAGGAGGATCAAAGAGTATATTCCAGCTACAGCTTTAAACACAGTGCTAGGACCCAGTCAGGCCTGAGTGAACATTAGCTATCCTTGCTGCCCAGTCATGGGTGTCCTTGCATTTGTGCAAGGCCCGTTTCTCTAGGGACACATCCTCCTGCTTCGCTGCCTCGTAACCCTCCACCACAGCCCAGGCCTCTCAGAACGCTCCCCCGACCTCCACCCACCCATGCACCTGCGTGGGGGCCCTTTTCCTGCAGCACAAGCCCCGAACTGGTGAACATGCAGTTGCCCACCTCCCCCGTGAGCCCAAGAAATCCTGGAGCCAACCCCCCCGCACTGGCTCCCCACTGGGGCCTCCCAGAGCTCTTGGCCAGGAGCTCAGGACTCCCTCAGCATTTGCTGAGAGAAGCTTGTGGCTTCTCTGCAGGGCTTTGGGACAGCTTGTGTAACCCTGTGGTGTCTGTGCTTTTCACTTGCCAGCAACAGGCCCCTGAAAGCTCTCAGGCCTTTCCGAGCACCTTTCTCGGGCACCTCCTGGAGGTGCCCTGGAGGGAGCCTAAGCAGGAACCGTCCTAGGGGCTCAGGGCAGTGGCCCTCGTAGCAGAGAACACCCTCCCCCCAACCTCACTGGACCCAGGGTGGCCTTTACCCCTGGGTCTCCACTTCTGTGCCCCCTCCCCCCCATATGGTGGCACCAGGGAGGGGGGTGCCCAGAGGTCCGCATCAGGCTAGGAGAAGGGGCAGGGGCCAAGCATTTGCTTCTCTTTGTGAGCACAGGCTCCAACTCCTTCTGTCCGGGCCACTTTGACCCTTGAAACAAGGAGGGATCCTCCACCCTCCTTGTGCCCCTGCCCGAAAGTACTCTGAGTAGTGGGCAGCCCTGGTGGGGTGGGCCTGCCCCTGCCGGGGAGCAGGGAGCATCGCTGCGCGGTCAGGTCACCCTCCTTACCCTGCACTGCCTCACTGCGAGCCAGGCTCCCACAGCCCGTGCCTGCCCCCGCTCCCCCCAGAATTAAGCCTCCCCAGCATCAGGCCTGTCAGGGGCTGATAATCCTGTCAGCTTTGCATGGAGTTGTACCTTCTCCAAGAAAGGCGTTTGATGACCTGGATAAGCTCTCTGTCCTCAGGTTACGGTCTCTTCCATGGAGATTTCTTCCCAGGTTGTGGCTTCCTGATTGCTCCCCCCGTTCTCCCAGGAGCGTGGGGTGCCCCCCGCAGTGCTCTTGGGCTCCTGCCCAGAAGGAACCCAGCCTCTGGCCAGTCCTGGCCTGGGCTGGCTTCCCAGGACACCTCCGTGGTCTTAGATACCTGTTACCTGCAGCCTTATTGGCCTCCACCCGGGTGCTCTGAGCTTGACATTTCTCTGCCACTTGAGCTGCCTCCTCCCTAAAATGGGGGCACCCTCCCCTCACAGGCCTGTTGTAACAGGAGCTATAGAGTGCATGCAGGCTGCTGAGGGCACGGGATGCATGCCCTCCGTGCCTGTATGCTTACTAATATGCTCGCCTGTGACCCTCTCCCAGTTCACTGCACGATAATTACAGCACTCAGCACGGCCCCGTGTTTGTGCGGGAATATTGGATTTCTTCAAGTTCATGGCTGGAGCTCATTCGAGTTTTTATGATCCACATCCAAATGGGCAAAAAAGTACACACTAATATGTTTTGAATGAATGAATAAATAAATGAAGGGTTGGCTCTGGGTGGGGAATGCGGAAAGAACAACAACAACAACAACAAAAACAACAACTAGTCCTTGCCCTCTACGAGCCTAAAGTCCCTTAATGACCTAATGAAAATAGAGCCAGGAGGCACTGGTGTGCAGGGCCATATGTGTGCCTGGGCATGAGATGAGGGTGAGCCTCATGGGGGGGGGGGGGACGTGCTGGAGAACAGAAGTATATGATAGAATGTTTGAAAACCTCTGTGGGTTTTGCATTTGTGTGCAGGTACCTCGTACCCATGCAGTTGAACATGGTTGTGGACATGCGGGGGACATTTATAAGTTGAATGGTTGTTGGATGAATGTATTACAGCAGTGCTCTTGTGGGTTTGCATAGATTTGCGAGCACAGGGGTGTTGGGAGTGTGTCTGTGCTGCAGGAGCCAGGTGGTGTGTGTGACATGCTCTCGTCCCTGTGGGGCACACAGGTGTCCACATCAGCCCTCTCGCCATGCAGGCCGGTGCACGGGAGAGGCGGGGCCGGGCTGTGTGTGGCCAGCCCCTCGTCTTACCAGTTGTGTGACCTCAGGCAAGTACTGAGGCTCTGTGACCCCTCAGCCTCCACATCTAGAAACGGGGATGACGATAGCAGCGACCTTGAGATTGCTGGGAGCACCCACCGGGTCCATGTGCCTGGCACAAGGACACGCTTCATAAATATCCGTTGTTATCGTTATGCTAGGGTAGGAGGATGGTTCTCGACTCCACTGGGGCCCACAAGTAGAAGGTGTCGCAAGATAAAGGCAGTCATTGTGTCTGGCCCTGTGCTGTCCCTTCCCCAGTGCAGGCATGCCCCTGGCCCTCTCAAACTGGAAGACAGACTTGGAGCTCTGAGAGAGGGGCTCACCCCGAGGCCTGAATGTTTCTAGGGATATTCTTCCCCCTGAGAGATGGCCAAGGGCATATAGCCCAGTGGCCTTCTCTGTGCATCACTCCAGGGACTAGGGGAGGGCCTGGGAAGGCTTGCTGGAGCTGACCCCAGAAGGCCTGTGTCGTCCTCAGGAAGAGGACTCTGGACCCTCCCAGCCCTCAGGAAAGGGTGTTCCATGGCTTCCAGGGGAAATGAGCCCTGACTATCCACAGCTTCCTCTCTGCCTGTTTCGGGGATAGCAGAGGAATTCTGTGAATGCTGTCAGAGCTACTTGGAGAGAGAGAGAGAGACTTGCAGATTGTTGGGATATCAGAGCTCTGTAGAGTCATATACTGCTATGTTCCACCCCTCACGAGAAGTCACTTGCCTCTCAGGGCCCCCGCTTTCCCCATCTGAAAAATGGGGCCATTAATTCCTGTCCTCCTTAGCACTAGGGTTGACCGACCCAGGGAAGTCTGGGTCTCTGTGACCTCACAGCCCTGTCCCCTGACCACAGACGACTACGCGGGGAGCGGCTCCCACTCGAGCTGGTCCCAGCCTTCTGTGAGCCTCAGCATCCTGTTGCCAGTTCTGTTAGCTCCCCTTTAAGGGGTTGGTGTGGGGAGAGGAAACACCCTGGATTGGTGGCCTTACCTTAAACTTCCCACCCAAGGACCTGACTTTAGGGTGCTAAATAAACAGAAGCCAGGGGTCATTGGCTGCCCCCAGGCCCCCAGATTTGAGGTTACAAGTTGGAGCAGGGAGTACAGATATCAGATGTTTCCAGAGCTCGTCAGAGTCTAAAAATGTGCTTCTACCCAGGTGGTACCTTCTCTCCCCTGGGAGGGGAGCTACTGTCATTACCAACCCTGGGCAGATAGGGAGACTGAGGGTAGGAGTCAGGCAGGGTCAGGCTAGAGTTGAGGCTCTCTGGTCTTTTACCTCAGTGCCCACCAGTGACAGCGCCTAAGGGGGTGTGGGGTCCAGACCACAGGATGGGAACCTTGGTTACGGTAGCCTGAGCAGAGAAAGGATGAGACAATGACCCCAAAAGAGGGCCACCTGCCGGACGTGGAGCCTGCCCGGGTGGACACGCGGGCCCGTGCGCGCATGCACACGGCCACGCACACAGATACTCCCCACCCTTGGGGGATCCCTCTCCATCTAGACAACTCGACTGTAGTTTCAATTCTCGTTTTAGCCAACTTTGTTTTTAATGTTGAACAACTATCCCTTGTTTGTATATACTTCAGCGGCAAAGTCCCTGGGGGAGAAGCAGTCTGTTTTCTTAGGCGGAATCCTGGAAGTCCAATTAGGGAGTGATCGTTCCACTTCTAAGGTTTTCCAGCGGCTGCCTGGCATACCCTACGGAGCCCCTAATTAGGCAGCCAGGGCACCCCGGTTCAGGGCCCAGCCCGGCTGGGGGTGGCCCGTTTGAGGGCCAGGCCGGGGCAAGTTCAGAGCCCCGAACGCAGGCCGAGGAGGGCCTGCAGGGGACAGGACACGGCCCTCTCCTCCATTCGAGGAGGGCTGATCCTCCCACTTGCCATCCACAGCCTTGACTGCCTGTAAGGGCGACATGCGGGACATGACAGCAGAGGCGGCCGCTCGGGGTTTAAGGAAAGCCACACCGGTAGGTCAGGGTGGCCTTCAAGCCCACGCCGAAGCTGGGTACCATGGGGCCCAGGAGAGGATTCACTCGGGTGGGGAAGGGCTTCCCTGGCGAGGTGAACTGTGAAGTGAGGAGGGCGGTTAGACAGGTACAGAGCTGACAGGGAAGCAAACACCTGATATTTTCACCGTGGACGTGCTTTTCAGTACGTTGCCCCATGGTCTCCCTGCACTTTGGCTGGGGAAGAAGGGCATGTGGTTGAAAAAAACACACGCCTTGTAGCCAAGCGCGGCCTGCAACCTACAGGTTTGTCTGAGCTGCTGCAGCTGGTGCCTGCTCGCTCCCTGTGGCTCTTGGCCTCCAGCCTGGGCTGGCTCAGTCCTGTGGTGCCATGGAGTGCCCGTGGCCGCCCTGGGGGGGCGTTGCCTCTCCCCTGGCCCGGGCCTGTTCCCTACAGCCTCTGGGAGGTTCGGATTTCTGCCCACCAGGTGGGCAGCTCCCCCTGTTCCCCGCAGCAGTGGCTCAGCTCACAACACTGCCCTGCTCCTGCCACCTGAGCCCCCCAGGTGCCATCTGCCACCCTGTTTCCAGGCAGCAGGTAGGTGGCCTTGGGGCAGGGGCTAGGGGAAGGCAGGCAGATCCCAGATGGGGCAGGCAGGGTGCCCCAACCCTGAGGGGCAGGTAGTGTGAGGCCAGCCAGCTGGCACCTGGGCTGTCCCACCTCTCCGGGACTGGGCGAGAGCAAGTCTGGTGAAGTGTTGGGTGTGCGTAGCACGGGGATTTTTTAGTACCTCTGTCTTGTTGTCTCTGCGTGTATGAGCGGTGGAGTCTGTGGGCATCTGTGTATCTGAGTATCCGACCATGTCTATCCCAAGCCTGGTCATTCCCTGGTCATTCCCTGGGCTTCCCTCCCTGTGTCTCTCCACCTGCATCTTCCACATCTCTCGCTGTCTCTGCATCTCTGTGTCCCCGCCTGTCTCTGTCTCAGTTCTGAGCCGATGAGGGTTCCTTTGCCGTCAGAGCTACCTCCCCCCCCCACCCCAACCCCACGCTGGGTTGCTCTGCTTAATTTCATTTTCCCGGGGCTCCAACTCACAGAAATAAACCCTCCCTTCCCACCCCTGCACTTTTTTGATTTAACAAGCCTGCTGGAAAACAATAGTGATTTCCGCATCGATCATAAACAGAAGTGATTACCATACAATTACAGCCTGAACCATCAGCCTCGATGCAATCACTGAGCCGCATTGTAAATCGGAAGACAATTGCCTGCAGAATTACCCCCAAATTGGTTTAAGTGGCAACAAAAGAGTGTTGGCATTTTGGCATTGTGGAGAGGGGTGGGGGGAGGACTGGTGGTCCTGGCAGCAGAAGGTCCCCATTGGGGAACTCTTGGGGTGTCTCCCTTGCCTTTGAGCAGGTGGCTTACTAGGGAGGGCTGCCTGCCACCTTCCCCCACCTCATTCTTTCTCCTGCAATTACTGCTCCTTGCCCGTCTTGGCACAGTTTGTTACAAATTCATTTATACTAATGTGTGAGTGGCTAAGTGTACCGTCAACTGGGACAGCGGAGAAGGGTGACTCTGGGGGGAGGGGGTGTTCCAAGAGGCCTCCTCAGCTCCCCTGCTATGGCCTGCTCCCCACTCCCATCTCCTATATGGTTCTTCCAGGCCACCCCATCTCTCTGGACTCTTCTGATCTGGCTCCCACCTCACAGCCTTCCCTTCTCATCTCCCAGTCCGATGGGCATCTCCCACCAGGAACCTCCTACATTCCATCCAGGGCAGCCTGTTCCCTGCATCCTACCCAGCTGCCCAGGCCAGCCTGCTCCTGGAAGAGCCTGCTGGCCACCACCGCAGCAAATTTGAGGAGAGGCTCACAAGGTGGGCCTCCACTGACCGGTGCCTGTCCCTTTCCAGCCTCTGGTTCTATGAGAAGTTCACTGCCAGCTGGACATCTCTTGAGTGTCTG